GACCTGCGCAGCATGAGAGGTTGTATTAGCACTATCACTGTGATGCATGGTTGGACGCTTGATCGTCGAGCGACGAGCTCGTTGAGTACACGAAGAGGGCATAAAACCCACATTGGCGTCCTCTTCAGTCGTGCCGGCATTGAACTGATACGTGTTCGAGTTGTCGTCCTTGACAAAACTGGTGTTTATGTCATCAAGGCTACTCTTCGCGAAGCCGTGTCCGCCAGGCACGTTTGGAGTCTCCGCAAAAGTGTCATCGTTTATAGGGAAGCTAAAGCTATGTGATCGGGTTCGGTTAGCTGCTTGTGCATGTTTCGATGTCTCTGTGTAGCAACCCATTGACAAAATGCATCCTTCTTCTTCCGTGAGCCACGGAAGGCCTTCCTTATTGTTGATAAGCCTATTCAAGATATTGGTCTGTTGTCGCTCAAACGACAAAAGTGTGACACTGCCACCCTTTTTCCCACTCGGAGACCTTTGTTGATACACGGTTCCTGAACTATCAAGACCGGCTGTCGGAGATGTCCACGCCATCCCAGGTTTTGTGGAGCCTGGATATGTGGAAAAGATTGACACTTTATGACGATGGTGATTAAGAGGAGTTTCATACATAGTAGGTTCATCCTTGTTGCCCGTTGCTAATGGCGCGTAAGCTTTGGTGTGTTGCAGCGTGTTATACATGCGGAAATAACTTACAATTATCATCCATAGGAGATTTCGCAGTCCCGTTTGTAGGATCGGCGTCGAATCTCGCGTCGGCCCGTGACTCAGACGACGTATTGGCATACGTTCTCGTACCCTCGTCCGCACTTTGAGAATGTTGGCCTCCATCTGTCGGTACTCGAAGATTTGCATCCCGCTCTTCTTGAGTCGGTCGTCTTGGAACATTAGAGCTGCGCTGATTGTCATCTGAAGCAGATCCCTCGTCAGCAAGGTTGTCGTCGCGAGCGTTCTTAGCGCAGCCTAACGGCACTGCAGCAAAAGGATCTGTCTTTTGCCCTCCTCGAGAAGTATAAGACGTACCGTGACGTGAATCAGACGAGGCTCCTTTCTCCCTAAACTGTCCTAACGGATCGGGCATTGGGCTTGGCACTGGCTTTCGAGGCGGGGGCTGTGGTACATTCCGTCGTTCAGAATTGGTGTAATTTGCATTTGATACAGGGGCCTCGTCCCCAGGCATAGTCGACCGAGGATAGTAACCAGACTTCCTGGAGCCGAAAGAGGCTTCTTGTCGTTGTCTCGCCGATTCCGTTCTTGGTGGTTGTCGTGGAGGCGGTGGAGGCGGCTCAGATGGACGAGGTTCGCCCCGTGTATTCTTGCGCATGTTCTCAAACGCCTTGGCAGCGTTCTTTTTCGCATTTGGATCGGATCCAAAAGTTTGTTTTGCCGTAGGGGGCACCCCGCTCGAGAATCTTGTCTGCCACCGCTGCGCCCCTGAGGTTGCGTTTCTCGCGGCCGTTGATCGTCGTGGAGGCGTGGGAAACTGTTGGCCAACATCGGCCCAAGGGTTTCCCCTCACACCCGAGGCCCCGGGATATCGGCTCCTTCCCAGAGTAGCGTCATATTTCGCCTTTGAGGTTGGATCCGAGAGGATCTCATGAGCCTCCTGGATGATTTGAAACTTGGCAATAGCTTCGTCTTCGTTGCCGCTGTTCCTATCGGGGTGATATTTTAACGCTGCATCATTGAGTCAGCATGCTTTGAAGCAAGGAGATTTCGTTTATCTGGTGTGGGAGTATTTATCCTCACCCAACTTTCGATACTGCTTCTTGATTGCTTCAATGTCCGCATCACGCGGCATCCCAAGGTCGGCGTAGTAATCCTTTTGGGCTGCCATTGAAGAAGGCGTTGGCCGGGTCCTGCAGATGGTAAACGGGGATACTGAAGTCGAATTCTAGCAGGCTTTTCTCAATCAACATGACAGTGAAGAGTTGTCTATCGGGTGTCGACGTCCGTGGACTGGTAGTGGTGAAGCGCTTGGTCCCAGGTCGGCCCTTCCTTCGCGGAGTGCGAGCGACGAAGCCACTCGAGTATGACACCAAAAGGTAATTAATCTAATAAGTAGAGCTGAGAGTGGTCAGTAACCATACAATAGGGAAGGTAGACGACAAAGCGAGCTTTGATCATCCGTCGAGCCTGCAGGTGGAATGTTTCGGAAGGCCTCCCAGTCTGAGCCAAAGTTGAATGCGTAGCTTACCCAAGTTTGCGAAGTTGACGTCAGCTTGAAAAATAACGCAGGAATAGACAGACCAGGGCTGTATCTTGAAATACCACGGGAAGTGCAAAAGAAACCAAAAAGAGAGGAAAAGCTCAAGATTAGGAAAGTCGAGGATCGAGAGGGCTTCCGTGAAAGTATTCACATTGGTTGGCTTCGCATAAATCACACGTTGACAGGGACCAGCGGACTGGACCTGGGGAGGATGCGGGACCAGCCAAGGTGTCTGGTGTCTGGTACACAAAATCGCACTTGCAGTTTGCATGTGGTCCCCGCGGTGACGCAGCGGGTCGTCTTTTAATGGCGCCGCTGCAAAGTTGAATGTGGCTGAGTACTTAAGTACCTAGGTACGCAGTAGTTAGTTGATGAATACGCACGTCATCGCAACTCAATGGTTTATTGCACAACATTACTCCGTCCATACGGAGCATCTAGGCTGCTAGGCAGGCACGTTTATACAGAGTGAACGGAACATTTGCTGGTTTTGGCCGAGACTCGGCACCCGAGCGGCCTCCACCACGGTCCATTCCAGCAGACACTCTCAAGGCATATCAAGTACCAGTCTCAAGCGAGAAATGCCAAGGATCTACTGCGTACGCAAGCAAGTTCCTCCGTCACGTCGACTATGTGGTCTCAACTCCCTTGATCCAAATCCGATCATCAATCGCTTGATGATTGTTTCATGACGCCTTTGTCGTTGCTATTTCAGGGACCAGGTCCTTGTCAAAGTATTTGGTACTTAAGTACAGAGTACCCCGTACCTGACACTTACAGAATACCCCTCCAAACGTGGCGACGTTGACAGTCAAGATCAAAGACAGCTTAATTCTTGACGCGCTTCTCTTGTTATAAGCTGCTTAGTAAGAAATGCGATCCTTCACTGTCATGGCGCTCAAGTTTACATGATACTTGCTTGTTCCCAGCCAGGATTTAGACGGTCCCCAGCCATACCTACTTATACACAATGTAGACACAAACCTACAGTCTCATTCTCAACTTCATGTCAACTTCAACAAGCAGCTAGTGTTGATTGTCAAAAAAGCCCACCAAAAAAACCCTCACATACTATACAAATTCCGGGTACCGGTCAAGAGTTTCTACATTGAGCTGTCATCGGAACCCCAAAGGACAATATTAAGCCACCTTTATTGGTCGCAGTGGTTCCCCCAGCACTGGTGGTCAAGTGACAGCATAACCGAGTGAATTGCATCGCTGAAAACAAATATATTCGTCGTACAAAATATACCATCTCTTCCAGTCCCATCTCACCCCCCTTAATTATTTTTTCTCCGCTGCAATCTTGGCTTCCATCTTCCGCCGCGCTGCCAAGATCATCTCATCTCGTCGTTTCTGCAACGACGCCTGGCGTTCGTCCCGATTCGAACTCCAGCCTTTCGGTTTGGCGTCCTCCTCAAATGCTGCTTCAGTAATCTTGCTCTTTAGGTTATATCGCGTTATTAGGTCTGGTTGTGATGGCTTGTCGGCTTGTCTCGTCGCAGAAACAGTGCTTGCTCCGGCCGTAGCTTGCCCTGGCGGAGGGGGTGGTTGGAACGTAACAGGAGGCTATTTCATACCCTATGTTAGCCGACATCCCCAGATCCCACGCCCAACCCAGATCCCATTGGCAACGCATTCCGGTGCATCTGCAGATGAGAATGATGTGCTTACAGTCTCAAGCCGCCCAGCCAAGATTCGCTCCGTAGTATTTTGAATACTGCCCCCATTACGCTGTAAATCCCACAAGATGCTCCGTCTTTCCGCCTGGGGAAACATCTGTTGTATCCGCTCTACTGCTGTTTCTCGTGACCTCCGTACGTCCTCCGGTGACCTTGTCGGCCGAGGTGTCTGCGTTCCGGAAAAGAACAGGTATCGTATTATGAGCCCCGACAGGAGTAGGATTCCTGCCAGGTATGGCAGCGATATTTGTTCATTGGCCATGCTGGGTCGCGGGAAGCCTGTGGGCGGAGGAACAAACCGGTGTCACTCGCCAGATTGGTTTGCCCAGTCAGGTCGAGTGGCAAAAGTATCTCGCGTGAGACTTATGCAGCAGCGTGGTGGTGGTGCTAGTTTAACTGATAGCAATGGACAACTAGCAAGCCACTGACCGTTGTGCCCTTATAGGTCGACAGATCGATGATTCGTGGATAGAAATAAAGGAGTGAGGTCTATAGAGCACGCGATGTGAAGTGGTCGGACCACAAATGTTCCGTGCCAACGGAGCCGCTATTGACGGTGTGCACCTGGTAGTAATGTCTGGCTTAGTAGGGTGGTGGAACCTCGGCTAATAATCAATAACTGGTTCCAAGTCAGAACCACCTGCACCACGGAAGGCACACCACACTCTCTTTTATCATACCCGCATGACGTCCGGGGACAACAGAGGGGTATGGGGCAATCCGCTTCTTCGAGAAATATTTTCTCACGTTGTGCACTGATATCTCCAAAGCTTAAGAGACAGATATGCTTTGTGGCAAGCATCACTGCATCACGTTCACGTCACTGGCTGCTCGTAGCGTTTCCATGAAACATTGCCCAGGAACGTCATATATTGCGGAGCGGCAATCGTATGCTTCATATACCATAAAATATGGCAAAAAACCTGCCGATAACAACCTGATAATGCATTCCCAGCCCTCCGGCCACCGAACCAAGTTCATATGCCGCAAAGAACCATTGCCCCCGTTCTTTTGTGGCAGAACGCCGACCGGTCCTAAGGACCAGCTATGAAGCAAACCCGATTTCCACTGCATAAACATACACCATCCTCCGCCACCCGTGCCCTAGTTTAAGATATTGCAGGCGGTTGGTTCAATGTAGTATCCAAGTCGCCGTAGAACAGAGTGAGCTCTCGCTAAAACAAACCAAGTTAGCCATCAACGTTCTAAGTCGTGGAAGCTGTATGAAGTTCTTTACCCTGTCCTTTCGCCAGTTGTCTGTATCCCACACAATATAGAATCCCCGCTCGTGGTTTGGGCTCAGGATCTGTGGGGTCATGTGTTCATCTTTGGTGAGCCATATCTGATGTTTCTTGTGCCATCTCCAGTTTCGAGAATGCCTACACACGTTTGTTAACCCAAGGTACACACCAAAACTACTAGTCCAAAGTTTCGACCTACAATTCTACCGCTGCCATCTGCTGTTTGACATCTGCGGGACAGCTGTAGAATATCCAAAACAGAGTTTCTTCGTTGAAATTCTGAATCTTGCTTTCAATTGGCTGGACGTTCGTCACATTGTAGCACTCTGGAAGTCGGAACTTGCTACCATTAACTGTCGGCCGAGGGGGGGCATCATCAAAGAGCGAGTAAACTTGTGTCGAAATCATCCTGCGCTTTGTTAGTGAGACAAACTGCGTAATTGGAAGCTGGAACATTCTCACTCTTGCGAGTTGATATCAAGTCCAATTGTGATGGGATCCATGCCAACTACCATTGCCTGGTAATCCGGGTAGTTGTTCATTAATGTCCGCAGTCCTTTGATTCCCCATTTGTCTACGGCACTCATTCCGCCAAGAGGATCTACCGCGTCCGGGGCCTTGTTCTCCTTCACATCTCGTAACTTTGCAATCGAGTCCTCGTTTCCGATTGCTCCTAGGGGGTTTTGATTCGTGTCATCAACAGTAGATTTGCCTAAGCCGTCTTCCCTGGAAATGGGTTTCTGTCTGCTATCGTCGTCGGCTCCCAGCCGCTTCGGGTCTTGGCCGCGGTTTAATGCTACAGGTATCAGCTCGCTTAGTCAACCTCATCCGAGAGGATCTTGGTTCACGACTCACCAACTCCGGGAGGCGACCGCACATCGTTTGCCCGACTATTGGCGGACAAAGCATTTAGAAGGCCATTACCCCTCTGCGCTCCTGACGCTCCTTGTTGCGATCCGAACGCCAATGACATCAGATTTCCACTTCGATCCGACCCAATCTCCCCATTTCCAGCTCTATTTAACGGAGGAAAATCATCAACGCTACTTGGCTGTCCTTGGGAGGCTGTCGCCATATTCCCTTGGTTACCAAATCGAAAGGAGGTTTGGTGTAAAGGCAAACGCGATGAGCCTGATGCGAACAAATCATCCTGGCCTCCTTGCTGAGATGAGACGGGAGTCGATTGATTTCGTTGAATAGGCCCACTCAAGTTTCGGGATGCTCCCGACGACCACATCGATGCAGGGTTGGCGTTGTTGAGCTGTGAGTTGTTCGACAGCGACGGGAACTCGCTGTAAGGATTGTCAGCACGCGTTCCCTTGAAGTAAGCTACGAACAGAGGTATCACGTCATGGTGACACCCAGAGAGAGAAAAAAAAAGGTTACCCCTTGACAACGGCGGCATAATCCCAGTTGGATGTTTGTAGCATTGGTGGCTTTAGTCCAGCCAGTCCGCTGCATATGCCTGTCGTGGTCTGCATGTTCAAAAAGCAACAAGATGAGGTAAAAGGCAGAAGAAAATCCAGACGAGGGCGGCGTTGGTGACGCAGAATGGAAATGGTGAACAAGAGGTGAGAAGACAAACGGAAAGCACGTACTTTAAGTCCAACGGAGTGGCAGGTTGCGACCCGCTCAAGCTCTGCGCAAAACTCACATTTCCTCCCATTTGCCGGGCTTGATTTTGGAATCCAGCACCTCCCATCGGTATATTTCCACCGAATGCCCAGCCAGATCCGTTGTTTGCTAATTTCGTAAATGAACAGTGTCAGCCCTCACGGTCGTGTGATCGACGGCTGCAGCTTCTTAACGCCGGTACAAAATCATACCTAGCTTCCCGTTTGGCAGCCGGCTCGATACCGATCGTCCTGGTAGTTGAGGCTGTTGCTGACCGCCAAAATTGCCAGGCATGCCTCTGAGAGACTGCGGCACCGTTCCTATTTCCAATGTATCGCGTTAGTCCGGTTCCTTGACAGCATCTTTTTTGTTGCCCAAGCAGAACGCATTAGCCTCTAAATGTTCAAAGACTAATGCGCCAACTGTTGACTATACGCTGAAAGAGCCCAATGCCCTCTAATACGATATGATCGTCAATCGCTTGATCTTCATAGATGGCCCAATCTTCGCTCTTTGCAGGGCAAGTAGCCAGGCAAGAGATATAGCAACTCCTTTCCAAATCTGCGGACGAAAGTCTTCCCCGTCATGCACCAGCTAGCATAGCACTCTGGCCAAAGACGGGGCCGGGCGACGTAACGAGGTGGCAGGATTGAAGATCATGCGGAAGAAGACTTGGGCACGTCCTACCTGGCCGATTCATAATGTCTTCGTAATCGCGTGGAACCAATATTATAATTCGCGTCGCAGAGAAATCCGTATTCTATTTGAAGGGTGTTGTTCGTCTGGTATGTAACGTGTGCGTTGCTTTCGCCGTTTAAAGGTTGAAGATTGCTTAGTCCCCGATCTTGTGATGGAATCGATCTTCAGAAAGGCTAACAAGGCTAACTTACCCACGAAGTCGCTGGCCGGATTCAAGTGGGTCCGTGCCGAAGGCGGCTCCGGGCCAATCACGCTCACACGCTTGTGCCAAGGCTGACGGCAACTCGCAGCAAGATCCCAGTGGGACATGACGACGTCAACGTAATTTGCCGTCATTTCTTCATCCAATATATCATCAGTCTCGTTGGGGATTTGATTAATTTCGCTTGCCCTTCATGGCTGCTCAATTGATGGCATTGTTAAAGCTCCGTACAAAATCTTCCTCTACAAGCCTTCGCCCTATAAATATAATTTTGCCTTGCTCTGGTTGCACCTGCGCAGTTTCTGGGGCGTCGGTCAGCTCAAACACCTCCCTCACACCCTGCAACATCCTGGCCGTCCCATCTCGCAAGACTATGCGCCCCTTGGATCGATGAATCTCGAACGCCCCTTCTTTCTCGCTTCCCGGCAGTTTGTTGTCCCACAGCACAGAGCGTAACCACTTGTCCACCTCGGCCACCTTACCTGGCAAGAGGGAGGGCACTGGAATTGACATTGTTGATATGGTCTGGTCTGCTTAGCCAACATGACTCATTCTCTAGTAAAGGCAATGCTCTGTTCGCTGACTTACGGGATCGAGATGACTGTGGCCTTTGAGCCGTTCATTCGCTTCGTTGAATTGGTCGTATGCATGCAGGTCAAGTAATAGTCCTTCTAATTGGGGCACGACGCTCTTCTCTGTAACATGCAACTTTGCTAGGCCGTTGATGGATTGGATTCGCGCCTTGACAAGCTGTAACTCGGCATCTGTAGCAAGGTCTGACTTATTAATAACGATGACATCTGCATGAGATATTTGCACATGCGCGGTCGTCATCAGCGGCCCGTGGTCATCATGGTCTTGATGCCCCTCAACTTTCCCAGTCGGATCATCCAAGCTGCGCAGAATATTTTTCGCGTCGACCAGGGTAACGATTCCATCTAAATATATCGTGCTTCCCAACCCATCATCTACCCAAAACAACGGCGCGATGTTGCCTGGGTCTGCGAGGCCTGTGGTTTCTAAGAGGATATAATCGAATGCGCCCTTCTTTTCCATAAGAGACTCTATGGCATTTACGCCCGTATCCCTGCCAAGGTTAGAATCGACTGTTTGTCAACCCCATACCACCACCTACTTGACTGAACAGCAAATGCAGCCGTTTCCCACTTCTAGCCATTCTTCCACCCTATCATCTCCCTGGTTGACGGTAAGAGACTTTTCAATGTCCAGTGCTGCTGAGGTGTTAGAATTCATTTATGTGGGATGGATCACTGCTTCGTTTGCGCACAATCTCCAAATTCTGCGAGGCAAGAAACGAGGATTAGCCCAGTTCCGCTGAAGGTGAATTCAAGACACAAACCATTCATAATAACGGCAATTTTCTTGCCATGTTGAGCCGTCAAGATGTAATTCAACAGTGTAGTCTTTCCAGCTCCCAAGTAACCTAATTTTGCATCAGCAACACGCGTACTATTCGATTCTCCCTTTAAGACTGAGAGCACAGACCAGTCACAATTGTAATAGGGACTTTGACAGTAATTTCTTCACCATTTTGTTCAATCTGCCCCGCAGTGTCAACCAACTCTGGAGGGGCATCGTCATCGAAATCCATTACGGCCGGCGATGTTCCCTATATACGCGACGAAAGAGGATCAATCAGAAGATCAAGGGCGAGACTTCAGTAAAAAAAAAATACAAAGGACAAAGGTAATTCGCTCCCCAAATGCAAGCCGCGTCCACCAATTCGTTCACGTGGTGGATCGAGCTTCATGGCAAGTCTGGCTGGCGTTGTTCACGTCGCCTCCAAGCATGCCCCGCTAAGCCGCTTGTATCCACTTAGCGCAGGTTCCATGCATTTACACAGCACTCGCCGCCAGATGCACCTATCAAAGACAAGCACGCACACGATCAAGCGAACAAGCGCCGAGCCTGTCATTGCCTCTGGGCGGGCATCTGCAGCTTGTAAACAACACAACGACAACAATTGTTGGCCATATTTCTAAGAGCTCCAGCAATCACACAACAGTACCGACAATGGCGCTGGCTCCCAGTTCGCCTCGTCTGCCGAGCCCTCCCCCGCCCGCCGAGATCCAAATCAGCCCAAACTCGCCATCAGGAGGAGCACCGGCAAGTCCTCATGCTACACAAATGGAGCAATCCGTCTTGGATGCCAATTCCAGGCGTCGCATACATCCGGGGACAAAGGCTGCTGATATGGCTGCCGGGCCACCTTTGGTGCCTCTGAGCGAGGTGAGAAGCATCGTGGCTCTATTCACACAAATATGTTGCAATCCATCGCTGACGAGCAGCCTCTCGCCAGCTTGATTCAGCCTTTCAGTTGCAGGAGCATCTTGCTGCCCTGCATTACGACCGCACAGCCTCTGGCACGCAAGCGATAACGCGCGAGACAGCTCACCAGCTCACCCAACCTCCCGCGGGCATCGATCGCACCATCTGGCTCTACGAGCTTTGTCGATTCCTCATCTCCAAATGCAACCAACTCGTCGTAGGGTTCCTCTTCGACACCCCTCCTTGCAGTGCGCAAACGTGTCCCGAGATGCGAGCTTCCGAGTGGCAGTTTCTATGCGCGGTCCATGAGCAACCCAAGAGCTGCTGCGCCATCGACTACTGCTGCCACACGCTCGACTGGGCAGCCAACGTCGTGTCCGACCAAAAGCTCTTCCCCAGTCGGTTCGCAGTCCTCAGCGATGCTCACAGCAAGAATGCCGGAGTGAAAAATCTCGTAAATGTATTCAGAAGACTACACCGCATTTTCGCCCACGCCTGGTTCCAGCACCGCAGCGTATTCTGGTCCGTGGAAAGCCAGACCGGTCTGTATGTCTTCTTCAAGACGGTGTGCGACCAGTACGATCTGCTCCCGGCTGAGAACTACAAGCTCCCACCGGAAGCCGAGGGTCTCGAAGCGCCCCCGATCGAGGCCGAGGCCGACAAGCCCCCGCCAGCTATTCTCAAGCCGGCATCACAGCAGCGGCCTGCTGGAACAGAAGATGACGGTCTGCACCCCGGTGGCCGCACCAACACTCGAAGACACATTAGGAGTAGTCCTTCGACAGGCAGTGCCGTGACAACCGTAATAGAAGCGGACGAAGAAGACACAGACAACGTTTCCAACAAGATGGAAAGTCTGCACATTTCTGACACTCGCCCAACTGGCCAGGAGCCAGAAAGCGCAGAAGTACCTGTCATTGTTGAGCGCTCCGTCATAGAAGGGGCTTCCAAATCAGAGGAACAACACCCTCCAGAGCCAGTGGAGCCGCCGGCACCAGCGGAAGCGGAAGTGGAAGCAGAAGCAGAAGAGGCAAATCAGACAATTGTAGAGCCTGAGCTCGCTAGCAATCAAGACGAAGACCAAAATGAAGAGTCCAACATTCCCCTTCCGTCCGCTGAAACCGATACAAGACCGTCCGAACCTCATGTCGAGGAATCCTCTTCAGAGACAAAAACTGACGATGAGGAATCAAAACAACCGACAGACGAAACCGCCCCCGACCCATCAGAGTCAGCTGAGGAGGAAAAGGAACCAGCCAAGGAGACCAAGTCAGAGGACATGGCTGGAGAATCTGGACACGTCCCTGATCCAGAGTAAACAGCATGACACGAGAATGAATGACCTGGTGCATGGTACATTACCCCCGGGGAGTGGTGGGATGTTTCCAAGTAGGATAATGGTAGTTGTAGCGTTACAATCCTCGCACACACACCTTTCTCAAAATTCGGGATTCCTCTTACGAATGAGAGCATATTGTATAATTCACCAAATTCGAACAGCGATCGTGTTTCTTAGGCCTCCAACTTGGAGGACTTTGTGACTTGCATGGGATATTTTGTCGCGAATTTGAAAACAGCTCTAGAAAAAAAGACGCGAACCACCGGATTTATATGATGTTTGACACGTAATAAGCCGTCTAGTGGAAAACACTTTTATTATGTTCAACACGCCAGGTATTTGTATCCTAGCATCTATCAGGGGAATAATCTTCAAGCATCGCCATGCTTCCTAGAGAACGCCATATTTTGTTGTTTACAATATACAAGAAATACCCTACCAGTATAAAGGTAGGTAGAAGTCCTCCTTTCATCAGTAATATTAGGTCCTGTTGCTCTTTTGTTTCTCCAAATTTTTTTCACACGTACAACGCCAATATCCAAATCAAGACATGCCCGTCACATCGTTGCCCGCTGTTAGGGCTAATTCGGCGGCCTCCATCTTGGCAAATAAATGGCGGACTTCCCGAATATTTTCCTGTTGGGCGTTCACAGCTGCTGTGTTTCGCTCGTCTGCAAAAGTGCGAATTGCTTGCAATATTGGAGTCAACCCTTCGTCGTTTGGTAGCCACCAATGGGCACAGGACGGGTCACGGAACAGGTGCGCCATTTTGATTCGTCGTGTAGTAGGGTGTATAAATCTTGAACATGGTGTTAGACAGTGACTCTGCAGTTCTTGTTTCAAGGCAACTAATGCATTGCGCCGCCGGTTCTGGTTAGGAGACGGGCTATACTCACCCCATTGTGTCTAGTAGAGCAAACTTCCTGCGAACCCACATCTGGTGACGAGAGTCTCGCGGCAGGAAGAGAGCAGCAATGGAAATACAAGGCTGCAGTGGTATTAGGGCTCCCTTGGGTTTCAGTGGCCAAAATTCTACAGTCTCGAAATACTGGCATATGGTGTAGGCATGTTTTGCCATCTCTATAAAAACCTGTTCCGCAGGGATGTCCGACGATTGCGATAGGTGCATAATCATGATAGAGGTCCATTCAGTGGTTATCAAGGTATTTGTGAAGAGTGGCTGCTCGTAAAGAAGACCTAGCATGTACGGATTCACGATGTCACCAGGAACCACGTCGCGTTGGTAAGAAAAGTCCGTGACCAAATATTCCGGCACCGAAAGGGCGGCATCCCAGGTCGATTTCCACTCGAGAAGTTCGTTGGTTATTCTCTTGTGCTCCTTGGTGAAGTCTTCGGGTCCTATTTGCCCGCGACTACCACGTGCGTAGAGCATAGACATATCGTACGATATGGAGCGAAGTTGAGTAGATCGAGAACTAATTTTCCAGCGAAACTCGTCGGGGCTGGCGCCAAGTTGCG